AACCCTAAATAGAAGAAATCCTGAATATTTGTTAATTTCTAAGCAAATTTAATTAATCAGTTGGAGGAAGCCAATGTATTTAATTCTAAATTTAGGATGAAAAATCCTGGGCCATGGGCATACAAGCAAATTCTCTAGATAATACTGTATAAAAAAGGTCAAAGATTACGGAAGTTTCGATAAATGGAAATAAAGTAATGATTTAAATGAAAAGTTAGAACTTCTGAGAAGTCATTTTTCTCTGTGGAGCAGTGTAGTTTGTAGAATAGTTTCCACGCAAATGATGTACTTTTTACTTGGATAATGCCGGCCCGTACTTTCAGCATATTTTGAAGCAAAATAAATTACAGATCTGACTATGAATCACAATTTTTGTAATAAGTAATAGTAATATCTAAATAGAATTAAAAATTCATGGCAAAAATTATAATAGATCTTCACCTACCATCGGTTTTAGATATTATGAATAGTCTGATCTTATTTTTCAGCCATAGGCTTCAATTTGAGTTTTAGAACCTCTATAATAGCCCCATGTGAAAACTCAGCTCAATTTTTATTATTGTAAAGAGCTTAGCAACATTTCCCATTCAACTAAGCTATAGTTTGGAATTTGTATTTCCAACGTTTGGAATAACATGCTGCTTGGTATTTATTCTCATCTACCTCATAATTGAGGACAGAATTATTTCAGAGTAGTCAAAGATAATTACTCTTTACCAGCCTTTACCGTAAGATGGGAATCATTTTTTTTTTTGTCATTTAAATGGCGGTTAAACAAATCTTTGGTCCGGTATTACTATCTAACATTCGTATTTTTTATGTTTCTGCCATAATTTCCGATTGAATGTGTCCCTGTTTGACATTTCGGACATTATTTTATATAGACGTATATCCAAAATCTACGTTCCTTACCAATATTCTCTTGAGGGTTACAAATTCAATAGAATACAAACATTTATTTTTCTGACCCCACATTAGTTAAGAAAGTGGACTTTGAGAGTACACAGAATGTGGGGACTATACTTAAATAAATTACTATGTGGATAATTATCTGTAAGATAGTTCTTTACCACAGGGTGGGCTAAATACATTTTGGTCAAATCAATTGATAAATGTGCTCAAGAGAGGTTTTTTTTTACCTCCTTAGAACCAAAGATGCCAAATAAGGGCCAAAAATCTTAAAAAAGTGTTCAAGATCCGAAATTAAATTTTGGTTTTACCAAAACGTGATCAGTTTTCGCAAGGATATTTCCTTCTCAAATTATAATATTCATATCAGACTTAGATTATACTTCCCAAAAAGACTATACTCATATTAGAATTCAAAAAGAAAAAAAAAATACACTACAAATGTACATTCGAAAATAGTAAGTCAAAATGAAAAAATAAATCATGCAAAATAAAACATTACGATTGTACATTTCAAACGTCAAAATGAAAATGTTCAAGTTACACATTTTCTTGATAGATGGGACTCGAATTATAATTTTAATATACATACATACATTTCAGGTTTTAATGAAATCATTAGCTTCGCCCACAACAATTATATTTATTATATTCTAGCTTGGAGCAAAAGCAAAAGAAATCCAAAAACTCGAGGATGTGATACAGTTCTTAGAACAACAATATTTAGTGTTGGAAGCAGCAAGGGAATCTTTGGGACAAAGAAAGAAATTAAATTTGAAAAAAGAATCACTCAAATGCAGGAGTTTTGTCATGTCTGCAATGGAGTGGGGCACAAAATGCTTGATTGCAGGAAATACTTGGCAATGACACTAGTCGAAAGAAAAATAAAGCTAAGAAAATTCATATGTGCTGCTTCAGTTTAAATTATAAAACGGATAAAAGGTGACTTAGTACCAGACGGAGTGAAACGTGGACGTGGATGGACGTAACAATACGCTAATGCATGTGAACGAGCAACAAGGAATAAAAACAACAGAGAAAAAAGAAATCGAGCAGTTTAAAAGCAACAACGATGACTCAAGAGCACAAGTAAATGTACTTGCCAACTACTATCGGAATCCGAGTATGTATGTCAAGGAGGTTATACGCAAACGATAACTCCTGTCAAGTATTGTCATTTAAACAGCTTAACAGTCACATGTGCCAGCTTACGACTACGTCTCTAGAGTTCCAAGTTACGCGCACCGAACAGTTGGCTCTTTACTACATTTAATACGGCATCAGCACATCTTCAATGTAATCCTGGTGGGCAAATAATAATGAAGTTGCCGCTGCAAGGTGTAGTAGAGTTGTAGCCGGGAGTAGTCTTCGCATCAAAGGTGTTTTGATTTCTGCACCGGTAGAGCTGAGGTCTGAACGAATTGTGGATAACAAGATGTTAGCCACCAAACTTTAGCGAGATAACTGCATTTAATATGGGTCCACTGAATGATATGAGAATTAACCTTACGGAGACGATTGAAAAACTGGTTAAAGAAATCGCTGAGTTGAAAAAGACAAAATTTAAATTAAGAGCAATGGTTTTCATCATAATAGCGGAACGGCTTCATTAATTAAAGTTTCGATATTCGGTGTAGTAGCAGTAGTATTGCAGCTTAGAAATAAATATAAAATTAAAAGAGTGTTAGATAGGATAAATTTAGATGTTCCTAAACCACGTACTGAGACTGAAAGTAGATTATAAATATAATTTAGGATACGGATAAGTGAACAGTTTTTATAAGATAAGTTTTATTTTTGCTTTATAACATAAATTTTAGTTGAGGATGACGAAAAAAACAAATAAAGATGAACACAGATGTGGCAAGAATAATATGAGAAACGGATTTTTCAGTGTTACATGTTGTATTAGATTACATAAAGTAATCTATACAACAGGCTGATAAGCAAATGTAGCGTCTTTGTCTGTCACATGAAATGATAGCTAGATGCATTTATGACCTCTCCATAAGATTTATGACAGACATGGTACATACGCATGGACGCATGCTTTCTCTCTGTCTAACGCAATAGTCCAAGTAGGTTAAGATTTATTTTTAAAACACCAATTGGAAAGTGTTTAGGAATGTTCACATTAATGCCCTATTGTATACTGAAACTGACTATTTTATAGACCAGTTTGTTATGTAGGGTAATATGTAGCATCGAAACACTTGAATAATCTTTTTAGATTTCAATATTATTGGCAAAAAGAGCTAAAGATGATATTCACGCGAACCCTAAATAGAAGAAATCCTGAATATTTGTTAATTTCTAAGCAAATTTAATTAATCAGTTGGAGGAAGCCAATGTATTTAATTCTAAATTTAGGATGAAAAATCCTGGGCCATGGGCATACAAGCAAATTCTCTAGATAATACTGTATAAAAAAGGTCAAAGATTACGGAAGTTTCGATAAATGGAAATAAAGTAATGATTTAAATGAAAAGTTAGAACTTCTGAGAAGTCATTTTTTCTCTGTGGAGCAGTGTAGTTTGTAGAATAGTTTCCACGCAAATGATGTACTTTTTACTTGGATAATGCCGGCCCGTACTTTCAGCATATTTTGAAGCAAAATAAATTACAGATCTGACTATGAATCACAATTTTTGTAATAAGTAATAGTAATATCTAAATAGAATTAAAAATTCATGGCAAAAATTATAATAGATCTTCACCTACCATCGGTTTTAGATATTATGAATAGTCTGATCTTATTTTTCAGCCATAGGCTTCAATTTGAGTTTTAGAACCTCTATAATAGCCCCATGTGAAAACTCAGATCAATTTTTAATATTGTAAAGAGCTTAGCAACATTTCCCATTCAACTAAGCTATAGTTTGGAATTTGTATTTCCAACGTTTGGAATAACATGCTGCTTGGTATTTATTCTCATCTACCTCATAATTGAGGACAGAATTATTTCAGAGTAGTCAAAGATAATTACTCTTTACCAGCCTTTACCGTAAGATGGGAATCATTTTTTTTTTTGTCATTTAAATGGCGGTTAAACAAATCTTTGGTCCGGTATTACTATCTAACATTCGTATTTTTTATGTTTCTGCCATAATTTCCGATTGAATGTGTCCCTGTTTGACATTTCGGACATTATTTTATATAGACGTATATCCAAAATCTACGTTCCTTACCAATATTCTCTTGAGGGTTACAAATTCAATAGAATACAAACATTTATTTTTCTGACCCCACATTAGTTAAGAAAGTGGACTTTGAGAGTACACAGAATGTGGGGACTATACTTAAATAAATTACTATGTGGATAATTATCTGTAAGATAGTTCTTTACCACAGGGTGGGCTAAATACATTTTGGTCAAATCAATTGATAAATGTGCTCAAGAGAGGTTTTTTTTACCTCCTTAGAACCAAAGATGCCAAATAAGGGCCAAGAATCTTAAAAAAGTGGCCAAGATCCGAAATTAAATTTTGGTTTTACCAAAACGTGATCAGTTTTCGCAAGGATATTTCCTTCTCAAATTATAATATTCATATCAGACTTAGATTATACTTCCCTAAAAGACTATACTCATATTAGAATTCAAAAAGAAAAAAAAAATACACTACAAATGTACATTAGTAAGTCAAAATGAAAAAATAAATCATGCAAAATAAAACATTACGATTGTACATTTCAAACGTCAAAATGAAAATGTTCAAGTTACACATTTTCTTGATAGATGGGACTCGAATTATAATTTTAATATACATACATACATTTCAGGTTTTAATGAAATCATTAGCTTCGCCCACAACAATTATATTTATTATATTCTAGCTTGGAGCAAAAGCTCGTTAACCAAACAATGATTGGCCGTAAACATAGAACACTGACTGAATTTTTTATCCCCGTGCAGTGAAACGAAATGCAGATTCCTTTAATAGATCCATGCAATATGTTGGCAATGAAGAATCGGAAAGAACTTCCAGCTTTCCCACAGAGCGAAGGGAAACTATAATTAATATGCTTATATCTTATGTACAATCTATTCAATATGTACTATTTTACTAACAATTGTATTTACTTTATTTTAGGTCCCCCCACGGCTCGTCCCAAGAGTCTGGCTTCAATTTTAATACAAATTCGTCGCAATCTGGGCGTGGTACTGATCTTGTAAGTAAAAAATAGCCAAAAGTTGTATTCAAAACCTCTCGAGATAATCACCCATATTATGTTTGCCGTTGTCGTACTTCGACAGACCTCCTAGTTGAGGCAAAATGTACTGCTACGACAAATTTCTAACATATTGCTTCTTTCTTTGTTTACATTATTGTATAAATCAGATTCAAACTTATTACGTTAGCATTTTACGGTTGAAAAGATCATTTGTCTTATTATGCGTGAAAAGTTGGGCAATGATAAACAAAAAACTATTAAGAAAATTCAAATTTTACTGCTTTTTGATATATAGGTCGAATTTCCTTGCCTTTCTTAGTATAGATTTCTGTTTCTTATTTTGTTTAGCCGAGAAAAAATGTTTTTTTTTTTCAATTTTAAGTTCACTCCTTCTGGTACCTCATCTACAAAATGTCAAATGGCCTTTCAAACTCGGCACATCTTTATATTTCTATCAACACAAGATCTCGTGTGGTAAGTAATCGTTTTACTTTGCACATCCCGATATTATTATCAGTATTATATGAAATTGCATACTTTGGCCCCTGTGTTTGGTACATCGCGCGCATTTCAACATTTCTCAAAAATGATCGTTTATCTTGTATAAAGTACAGGGAGTAGTCGATATAGGCCAAATCTTGCACATTGTAATATTCATATCAGACTTAGGTCAGATAAGAAATGGACAATGTTGGACAACCCTTTTGAAACCTCCCCATAAGGGGTCAAAAGCTCGAGTAACCATAACGCAAGTCAATATATATGTGAACAAACAGATATTGAGGGTATACATCTGTCGGCGAAATCGATTCATAATTTTAAGATGCATTTTGAAGTACTTTACATCAGCTTCCCAGAGTCCATCAATGTGTGGAGCTTCTGGAAGCATTAACTTTCACTAGGGATGTGCGTATGGTTGAGTGGGTACTGGATATTTTCTGCTGTAGTAATGTTGTTTCATTGGCAGGAAAAATTTTAGGTGGAAAGGAGGCCTTCGCTGAGAGGCCGCTTCTGGGCTTCCAGTGATTTGGCAAAATATACAAATAAGCAAACGCTACCTCTGGTAAACTGGCACGACCAGTGAAGATCCGAAAGTTAAAAATTCCGACAAAGTCTACTCCTATTTAAAAGAGGTGAAAAATCCAAAGCTCTTGTCGAAGGATGCGGATTATTATGTAAGTAAGTTCAACGCGACTGCAAGATAGTCAACATATTATTTGCTCTCATGTTTACTTATTGTATAAATATATATATTTTTTGTAGAAGCCATATAATCTTCATAATCTCCATGAAAATAGTGAGGTTGTATAAGAAGAATTAGTTTGGATTTACCTAATTGGATTTTCCAGGAAAATGTTCGCATAACATTTGTAATCCATATAGGGTTTGACGGCGTGTTCGCAAAAACCGAATAATATAACACGATATTCTCGTGTCAAGGATGAAACGTCATCTATCGAAAATATATTTTCTTTCTACTAGCATAATTCATATCAGTGGTATTCCAGCAGGACCAATAATACCGTAGTTGAGCTAGTACGCGGATATGAGCCTTAAAGCACATGCACGATGTATTTTTTCAGCAGTTTACGTAGTTGTTTGTTATCTGCAATTAATGTGTTCTGCGCACTGTCGTAAATTCGGCCCCAATACAAATTGAAACGGATTATCGGATTTGTCTTGAGAACTATAGCTCTTTGCCTGCATTGGATAATCTCCAAGTATGTATTCACTCTTTATTCATTAATGACGAATGACAAATAAAATCTTGAAAAATCCAACAATGTAGTCTGAAAATTATATTCCGTAGATTTTTCCAAAAATTTGCATATTGCCTTAGCAATAAGGCTTAGTTAACAAGGCCTCCTGGCAAGAACCTTGTTCCTTCTTCCAAATGGTTATCAAATGTGACCCCTAAGACTTTGGGGTTATTGCTGTTCGGAGTTAAAACACCATCGACCTGCACATTAAGTTGATGTTGGACATTTAAGGCCGCGCATAGCTATTTAACGGTGGAAGGTGCACGTTAAGTACCTCGGCGGTTCCACACGTTACCGCTACCCCCATTCCATGTTTGGGACACTAGAGTCTAGCTCAGGCGCACCTTTGATGCGATTCTTCCTCAATACGTTATATACATTACAACATTTATGTTGTAGGTGTTACCCAGCTTCATCTTTTGATTGCAGCGAATTCGATAGTTTTCCGACTTACGAATTTATAATTTCGTTGCCTTGGATACCATCGAAGTTAATAGGGAAAAGATGCATTATCCGGAACTTCAAGAGCAATGTGTGGTGTCAACTACATAGATGACTGTTGTGGAGATTGCGGAATAGACTCCTACAGCGACGACGATAAAGACGCGGACGACGACTCACTGGGGTTGTTGTTGTAGCAGTTTTAACATGCTCCGTTGTTTGTCTTCTGACTAAACCGGTTCATCCAAAATGTCCAGGTTTAGGAATTCTAGGGGCTCTCTCTTATATCGCTGGACCTCTCCCTCTACATCATGCAGGTACTTCCTGACACGCCTGGGTGGGGGAGTTCTATCCACCATATGGTGGTTAGGGTGACTCCAACGATAACACCCAACGAAAGCATATGATTATGCTGACGTAAGGGAAGAATCTTCGTCTCCTCATGTAAATGGTCCACAGGAGTCATGAGGTGGCACCCTGTTGCAGTTCTCAGCTCGGCAATCTGGCAGGTCTGAATACTTTTCCACTGCGTTTCACTCGTATTCGCCGACCACACTGGAGCCGCATAGCTAACCACAGACCGACCTATCGCTTTATAAGAGGTCAACAAGGTTTCCTTACCGCACCCCAAGTGCTGGCGGCTAGCGCCTTTAGGACCTTGTTCCTACTTTTTATTTTATCGCAAATAGCTGCGGCTTGCGCGGAAGACTTGAACATGCTATCGAATGTGACCCCATGGATTTTGGGGTAGTTGGTGGTCGGAGTTATGTGCCCCTCGACCTCCACATTCAGCTGTGTTCTCATCTCCGCAGTCCATGTGGTAAATAGTGTGGCCGTCGATTTAGTGGCGGATATTTTCATATTCCTCGCATAGCTATTCACCCTGACACATATGTCATCAACTACAGGGCCCGACGCCATGATCGTACAGTCATCCGCATAAGTTACGCCGACTGGAACAGTTAAACAGTTCCGGAGATATCACCCCACCTTGGGGAACTCCCTGTTTCACTCTACGAGGCTTGGACTTCTTATTCCGGAATTCCACGTACGACTGGCGTCCACACATATAGTTGACTATCCAAAGTTTCAAACTTGGCTGATAGGTCGAGAGCTACCACTACTGTTCTATGGCACGGCCTTTTCTGGTTGAGTCCTTTACTGATATGTGTGGATATGGCGTGCAATGATGTTGTAGTGATGTTGTAGAAGAGGTGCGCCGAGGATGTACCTCCACAGTTTACGATGGGTGATGTTGTGAATGTCATCCGAAACGCTAAGTCATCTAAAGCGTTGGGCCCGGACGGAATATCAATGGTAATGTTGAAGCAACTGGATACACCGGGAGTTGAGTATCTAACCAAAGTCCTTAACTTGTCGTTAGCCACCCACATAGTTCCCGAAGTCTGGAAAATGGGCAGGGTGGTCCCGCTACTGAAGCCTGGCAAGGATGCCAGCAAAGGCGAATCATACAGGCCAATTTCACTTTTGTCGCCAGTACAAAGACTCTGGAGGCCTTACTCCTCCCCAGTATCAGAGGAATCTATTCAGTTGCTAACCATCAACACGGTTTCCGTCTAATACATAGGACGGAAACTGTGTTGATGGTTAGCAACTGAATAGATTCCTCTGATACTGGGGAGGAGTAAGGCCTCCAGTCTTTGTACTGGCGACAAAAGTGAAATTGGCCTGTATGATTCGCCTTTGCTGGCATCCTTGCCAGGCTTCAGTAGCGGGACCACCCTGCCCATTTTCCAGACTTCGGGAACTATGTGGGTGGCTAACGACAAGTTAAGGACTTTGGTTAGATACTCAACTCCCGGTGTATCCAGTTGCTTCAACATTACCATTGATATTCCGTCCGGGCCCAACGCTTTAGATGACTTAGCGTTTCGGATGACATTCACAACATCACCCATCGTAAACTGTGGAGGTACATCCTCGGCGCACCTCTTCGGATCAGTCACAGTTACGTCGTTAAATGCGACTGCTGTCCTATCATCCTTTTTCCCTGGGTTCGAAAGTGACTTTACCGTTATCTACAGTTTACTAAAATCGGTTCCAACACTTCAAATGGTCTAGCCACTTTTTCCGCCTATGCTCCTGTACCAACTTGTTGACTTCCACTGTCAGTTCAAAGACTCTGGGATCAGTAGGGTTGGTACGTCGGAGCTCATCACGCTCATTCCCTAATCTCGCTGCCTCTGCTGGGAAATTTGGTCTTACTTCGGATATTTGACCAGCAGGTATATAGCGAGCGGCTGCAGCTTTGATGATGTCCCGGAAAATCCTTTCACCTACCCGAACATCAGAAGGATTGGGCGGTTATCTGAAGCGAAGGTTAGTGATCTCTATGAACTCAGGCCAGTGGGCTTTCCCATGGTAAAGAAAAGTGCGGCATTTAGAGGTTATGAAATCGGGCGATCTGCTGATGGAGACGATTATCGGGCGATGGTCTGAGCCAAGAGAAATGACGGGTTGCCAAGTCACGTCATTTATCAGACCGGGTGACACAATGGTTAAATCTGGCGAACTGTGACACTCTCCTCTTATTCGGGTGGGGCATCCTCGGGGTGGTTTACCGTGCAAAATGTGGAGCAGTCAATCTGCTCTGCCACCTCCAATCCCCTCTGGTCATTACCTAGGACGGAATGCCACAACTCATGGTGGGCATTGAAATCCCCTAGTACCAGGCGGTTATTGCCTACCAATGATGCCTAATATAAGGCAAATAACGCGGTTCACAACTATTAACCGGAGGGATATACACATTAAGCAGTTCCACACTTGACTGCT